GGGGGGCGGGTATGGGGGTGTTAGCGGGGTTATAAGGGGTTTTGGACCGGACAATCCCCGAATGGTAGATGGCGACCCGCGGCCTGGTCGGCGAGTTGGCAGCTGACCAGTCGAGGGCTGCTGGCCGTCGGGGGATGGGATACTTCTCCGTTCACAATCTGGGAAAACGGGTAGAAATGAGTGAAGTGTCATCAATGCTGTTTGAAGCTTGTTGTTGTCTGGGAAAACGGGCACATGCGAGAATTAGTGAATGTTACTGTGAATTGTAAATCAGCACTGAACCAATTGAGGAGAACACACTTTTTCTGAGCAGAGAAAGTCACAAAGCAGAACATGCATGTGAGAGCCAAGCTGAAAGCGGGTTTACAGGTTGATAATGCAGGAAATGAGATTGCGATTGTACCTAAGACCCTCGGTAAAGAAATCCCAACTTTTTGCCTCTTTTTTTTTTTTGATACAAGAGAAGAGTATCTGCGCTCCTGTGATATGACCGCCTATACCCCAACCCTACTATATGTATAATCCTCCTTCGATCCCTCTTGCTCTGTTCGCTCTCAGTCCACATCTCTTGCTCCCAAAACTGATGCAGAGTCTGACCACTAAGTGTGCTCCTTAGTCGCTGGCAGGTAAGTCCACCTGTGCCATTTCTCCCCTCTTCCCTCTGATCACCCGCTCCCTGCACACTCCGATTCTCTTCAGCCAGGCTCTGGCTGCGGCTGGTGGAATCCTTTCCTTGGGAAGGCCTCTCTTTTCTCCTTTGTCAAAGCGCTGAAGAGAAGCGATGGGTCTTCACGAGAAGACCTCTCCTTTTCTGGGGTAGCCCCCTCCTTTCTCCTTTCTCAAAGTGCTGAAGAGAAGGGAGGGTTATTCACGAGAAGACCCCTCCTGTTCTTGTGAAGCCCCGTCCTTTCTCCTTTGTCAAAGCGCCAGGTGCAGCTAATTTCTGATAAGAGCATTCACAAGATATTTTAATTTCACAATTACTAAGTCACTGGCTACTCGTATCATTGCTATTCTGTTGAGTTTTCCCTACACTTAAAGAAATCACTATTTGACTCGCAACATTTGGCCAATCTGGGCTGCCCGCAACCTACCGGCCGACGGCCCGGATTTCCACGCGATCTTAAGACTTTTAAGACTAAGGTCGCGAGGCGATCCAGACCGTCCACCTCGCCGGACGCCCTGGATTGTCGCACAATCTTAAAGTCTGAAGATCGCAGGACGATCCAAGCCATCGGGCCAGTAGGACTGCGGGCGGCCTGGATCGTTGCAGCCGTTGAAAAGAGGGCCTGTCGTAAAAGAACTGCCCCGGCACCTGCTGGCCATTGGCCTGTTGCAGGGCCGGTGGTGCTATGGCCCTGCTGGCGTCGAACGGCCTCTGACTTCGCGCCCTCGACCCGTGACCTGCAAGGCTGACTCCGTCTCTGCCCACCTCCCCTCCGTCTCCGCCCACCTCCCCTCTGCCTCCCGCTGCCTCTGACTTCGCCCCCTCGGCCCGTGACTTGCAAGGCTGTACTCCGAGGTGACTCCGACTCTGCCCACCTCCATCGGTCGGTTGTCTCCCCCCGTCGTGCATCACCTGATGCGTTTGCTTTTGCGAGCGAAGCTGCAACAGGTCATCTACTCCTGTTTTACAATTGCTATATCATATCCAACAGTCAATTATTGAACTATAGTAGTAGGAACTCTAGTTCTTACTCTTGGCATGCCCGGGCCAGTTGGACAGAGGGGGGGTCGCCCCAGCATAACCAGACAGGTCAAAAAAGAGGCGAGGATCCCAAAAAAGGAAAAGGAAAAGGACTTCAGGCCATGACTGCACCAGGATGGAGGTCTTGCACATGGGGCCTTTGGTCAAAAAAAAAAAAAAGAAAAAAAAAAGGACTGCGCTTGGCCGAAGCAGTCAGAATCCGGTCTTAACTCCGGTTTCGGTGATGGGTCATCCAGGGAGTTTGGGGGGATTAAAAGGCTGGACTCGTGTTTTCTCATTAATTGTTTATCTTAAAATTAACGAGGAATTTCGAGGTGGCCCTCAGCCAAAAATGGTTTGGGGGGTTTAAAAGGCTGGACTCATGTTTTCTCATTAATTTTTTATCTGCAAATGAACTAGGAATTTCGAGGTGTCCCTCAGCCAAAAGTGGTTTGTAATAACTTTGTATTGAAATTTTACATAACATATTTTTTTTTTCGGATTTTTATCTTTTGTTTGATTTCGGTTTCTATATTTTTAAATACAGGCCGAGAAAAAAAGAAAAAGAAAAAAAAAGGCTGAGGGTTTTTCCAGCCTTTATAACCTAGGCTGAAGCGGTCTCTTGCTCCGTGCTTCTTTTTTGTGGTGTCATGGGTTGACGCGCTAGAGGAAGCGGAGGCTGTCGGGGTGATTAGGATAGTCTTCATGAGATGTTGGGCATGGTAGTGGCCCTGCTCCTATGCTCTTGCACGAATCTAGTGGAGGTTGGTTGGGCAGTGCGGGCAGAAAGTGCGGAGCATCTTCTCATGCGGAGTGCGAGGAGGGAGGCTTGTTGCAAGCTGGAGCGTCAAAAAGAGCCCCTGCGGTTTCAAGCGTTCGTTTGAGCTGGTTCAACGGTCGGTTAAAGACACGGAAGCAGAGGTTGCGGCGCAATAATGAGAGTGGCGATGGAGCAGGAGAATTTCGTGCAAACGTGTGTGGTGCTCTTCGGGACGGCTGCCTGTGCAAATCGTTTTCGCTGATCTCAATTTTGTATATTCTAATTTCCTATATTCTTCCTCTAAGCTAGTGCTCTGACACGGTTATAAATTCAGCCGCTCAAATGCGGAAAAATAAACTCACAATCTTATCCTCTGTTTTCTGAACAGCCAAATTCTCATCTCCATGTAAACACATATACACATATCCTTGATTTTCAACTATTGTGACGATATATATATATATATATTTGACGATATATATATATATATTTTAACAGGTCCTTTTGGTCCTGGCTCCATATCCTTGATTTTCAACTATAAATAATTTCTGATAAGTCTCAAGCAAAGTATTTTCATCCAAATGTACACACATACACACAAACATATATTGACTGGCATTCTGAATTGCCAGCACAATTTGCAGGGATCTGTTCTACAATTAGGTATCCTTGAGTTTCGACTATAATTTCCAAAAGTCTCAAAGTAAAGTTTCTACCATGATTTTCTAATCTTGGAACCGGAAAACTTCAGAATCTCTCCGATAATTTGTTTTTGCTTCTTTTAAATTGGTGATACGTGCACATGGTGGGAGCTGCCAGACGTTGATCGGCGCATGGCACTTCTTTTTCAGTGGGTTGTTCTTAAAGATGTAGGGTGTTTTCGGGGGTTATTGCATGTTTTTGAAGAGGCCCTGCTTTTCCAAATTGCGAACAACATTTTGGTAAGTGTGTCATCAATAATTGTAGTCAGCTGGATAGGATCGTTCCCGGAGGGCTAAACGGTAGGAAGTGGGTGGGGGGAGCAGCTTTATCTTGCAGGGGCATCACAAGGTGGGG